GCCCCCCGCCATCCCCACCCCAACAGAGTGGGATTTAGAAGCCTAGGGCTGGCTATTTACAACACAGCATTTAAAATAACAAGGCATCTTATTGTAAAAACATTCCCCTCCCACCAAAGGAAAGTCCCTCCCATCAACCCTGTGATTTGCTAAGGAAAGAAATATGTACAGTTCCAATTTACACTTAGGTCAAAACTATTTCCAACTAGAAGGAGAGACTAGTAGAATCCTTTCCAGTTCTAAAATTCCATGATTCTAGTAATTCAACTTAATACTTTTGCATGAGGTCTTCTGTTCAGATGCCATTTTCAATTGCTTTACATTTTGAGATTTATTAAATGTTTAGCAATTTTAATTTCAAAGGAATGCTGGTGTACTCATTAAACAGTGTTCTATATACCTGGATAATGAGACCAAATTTTATGAGAGGCTGAATAACACAGTGTCTTGTTAATTATAATTTAAAACAGACTTTCTTAAACAGTCTCTGCATTCTTATTTTGGAAGATTGTTCTGTTACTACCTTATTACGAAAGGAAAGAGTAAAAATAGGAAATAGTAAAAGCTAAAGGAAAAAGTAAAAGATACAAGTCAGCTTAGTCTCTTGATTTAGCACTCAAAAATGGTGATCCATATGGAGGGATTTATCCTGAGATTCAACTAACTATATGGAGCAAGATCTACTTAGTACAAATTTCCTAAAAATAAGTCACGAGTTGCTTTCTCCATTATTAAAGGAAGGCTCCTCATCTACTAATTTAAACAGAACACCTGTAAAAAGACAATACACATTTTGTGACTTTCCACTCCAATTTCAGTATATTTAAGTTTCTTAGTAAAATGTGGGCCAACTTTCCTTTAAAAATGTAACATATTTGCCGAATACTTTGGGAAGAGAGCTGTTTGGCCACTGGATTTTTATCTGCCAAATGTATAGTCCCTGGCTTAAGAGTACTGTTAAACAATTTTTTAAAAGTCTAGATTACTATTAAGAGCACGCTCACTTATATCCTCCATACGTGTGAAAGTGTAAAAGTTCTTGTTTAAGATTTTGTCATAATAAAACTACAAATAAAGTATACTTTCACGGTTATGATTGCAAGGAAAAAAAAAACAACTTCTCATTCGAAGGGCTCAGAACATACAGCCAGCCAGCAGCCTAGGACACCCGGGCCCCGGTGCCGTCAGGTGAGTTTCACCTTCTTCTGGGAGGGGTCTACCTTCCCCGCCTTCCCCTGGGGTACCGGGGACTCGGGATCAAAGGACGCCAGGTTTGCTGCAGGCTTGCACTCCCGCCCAACCCCGCGAGCCAGACTTCACCCCGAGAGAGATGCTCTTCCTGAAGTTCCGAAGGCAGGCTTGCGGAGAGGTGACTGGCAAAACGCGAATAAACTCAGAATCCGCATCGCCGGAGTCCGGCAGGGGAACTAACTGCACGTGAGGTTGCATCAGAAAAGACAAGCTCCAGAAAGTCGGCTAAACTAGGACGCAGGAAAGGCGTATTATGCAACGGCCGCCGCTCTCACGGCCGCGAAGGCGTCCCTGAAGCTCGGGCTGCGACCCGCGAGGACCGGGAGGCAAACTTGGAGAGGTCGGAGCGAGCGCCGGCCCGGCACCACCGGGGGCTCTGCGGGCTGCACCGTCCGTGGCAGGCGGGTCGGGGGACGACCGCACGGCCAGCGGGGGCACGACACCGCGGCCTGTGGGGGGACGACCGCACCGCCCCGGGCGGACGACGGCGCGGCCTCTGTGGACCGCGGTGCAGCGGGCGCGGGATCCCGACGCTGTCGGGCCCCCCAGCCGGCACGGCGCCCGGCCGGGTCTCGGGGTAAAAGCCCAGCTCCCCAGGACCGTGGAG